TAGTAATATGAATATTTGTATATTACAGACAATACCTGAATGATAAAACAAGAAGTGGCCACTGCAGCACTATAGACATAGGGCATGTACCCCAAGAAAATTTTAATTTTAAAAATTTGGAAAGAACAGAAATTTATAGACATTTTAATTTGAATTGAAGTTTTAAAAAAGTGCCAATTTTAGAAATCAAATTGACGCGTGTAGGTTAACAAAGATTTTATACATACATACAATTGGAAAGACTGGTAATCTTAAATTTTAAACTACTGGCAGTGTAGCAGCTACGTAAGAATACACACCTGATGATGGCCATTTAGGGCCGAAACATGTAGTGTGGAGGAAGGGAAGAAGAAAGAACTACAATTAAATTGTTGCACTTAAGACGGAGTTTGTCTCATATATATTGTGTGAGTGTAACAGGATGCTTAAATATAATATTGTCCCAAGTCAAATTCAGCTTTCACAATGTAGGTTTTGACTAGTCTGTCATATGGGAGCAAATGTAGAAGCGGGGTTGCAGTTGCCCGTTAGCACAAAAGGCAACCAAAATCCAAACCCTTCCTTATGACCTATGAACACATGATCTACTGTGCTCGCCAGGAACTTCTCAGCCTGTTACACTTCACCATGGATGCTGCCTGTGGCTTTACATGATACCTCAACAATAAAAGATGGCAGTGCCAGCTTCTTGTTGGATGAGAGTTTCCTTGGCCCTTGGTCATTGTCATAAGCATAGTAGTCAGTCAGTGTATAATGGGACAGCAAAGCACTCACTAAAATTCATACAATTCATATTTTTGGTACACTTAATCACAAGATGTTACTAGGGAACCTCATAAAGCATCATCTTACATATCCTTGTGTGCAACTGCAAAAACTCTCTCCAATTTATTATTCATCACTAGGGCCCAGATTTTGATGACATGTCATCTTTTTTTCCTTGTATCCTACTCGATGCCTGCAAATATATAAATCCCGGAGATGAGCTGCTGGTTGCAGAAATGTAACTTTTATAGGTCATTTTTTGTCAATTTTCATCATTTTTAAGTTTTTAGGTTATTTTTTGGTAAATTGTTGGATTTAAGGGTATTTTTTGCCATTTTAGGGAATTTTTCTTCATGTTTTCAGAAATGTGAATAATATGCAAGTAAAGTGTTCTTTCTCTTTCTCCTGCCACTACAAAAGAAGCCTGCAGTTGCACCCCAAATACCTGCTACCATAGTATGCAATAGTAAGTTGTAATAATGTCCCATCCTTTCCGTTTGTTTTGCGGGGAAGTGCTGACATTACATATCATAAAACATATTAAGCTGGCAGCAGAGTATGACAGTGGTCACTCACACTTCGGCCCTTTCCAAGTTCTGTGCAAAGGAATCTGCTTAGTTACAAATACTTCTGTTCAGAATTCCTTGCCTTTTATGATGTATTGTTGCTCAGTAAAATTCCTTCTGTCTTCAGTTTCTCACCCTTCACTGTACAGAAAAAGATACAGTCGAAGAAAGGTTCTCAGTGTGAAAAGTTCAGTTCTGTGTTGCACCAGAGTGATTCATTTTATCATGATGCCTAAAGCAAAGCCATCTAAATCGTGTCATTTAAAGCAGATTGTAGCTGAGTTTGGAGATGATATATTTTCAACTAATAGTGACATTTTATACTGTAAGATGTGTGACACAAAAGTAGCAGCAGAAAAAAGATTCATGGCACAACAAGAATATACGAGCAGTGCAAATTTCGAACAAAAAGAAATCTATACAAATGTTAATGCAACAGTGTTCATTGGAAGGCGGAAATAAGTCATCAGATTTTTTCACAGATCTGTATGATGCTCTGGTGTCCGCAAATATTCCATTTTGGGCTCTGAACAATGAAAAACTGCAAAATTTTCTGGAAGTGAATTGTGATCATTCTATCCTGGATGAATCCACCCTCAGGAAAAACTACCTTTCCAAGTGGTACAACAATATCCTGGAAATGATTAGGAATAAAGTGCATGGGAAGAAGATTTTTGTTTCCATTGATGAGACCTGCAATATGGAGGCTCGCTATGTGGCAAACGTCATGATTGGAACCTTAGAAATTTATGGACCAGGTGATGTGTTTCTGCTTACGAGTGAGGTACTACAATCTGTTAATCATTCCACAATTTGTAAACTCTTTGACAGGCTGATGATACTACTGTGGCCAGAGGGTATATGACACGACGACGTATTGCTTTTTGTGACCGATGTGTTGTATACAAAATTGGTGCACGTTACTTGCCTATCCCATGCACTGCACACAGAGGCAGAGGAAGTGAGATAAAGATTTCCTCAAGTGGATGCTCTCGTGTCGTGGATGAAGATTTTTGTCAAGGCTCCAGCTTGTAAAATTCAGTTTAAGTCTATGGCTCCTAGTGTTCCACTGCCCCCAGAACCTACCATCACAAGGTAGGGAACGTGGATTGATTTGCTATTGCGATCATTTTCAGGTAGTGAAAAACATTGCAGATTCAATGAAGATGGAGGATGCAAAGGCAATTAAAGCTGCTTAGGAATTATTTTTGTGTAGTGAAATGGAAGGAGAGCTGGCCTTCATAAAGGCAAATTTCAGTTCCTTGACGGAAGGAATCAAATGCTTACAGGACAAAGGAACAACAACAGAAGATTCATTCACTGCAGTGAAAAAAATAGCCATTGATTTGGAGAAAATGTCAGGGGACATTGGTAAAATGGTGTCAAGAAAAATGAAACATTTTCTAGATAAAAACTCGGGTTATGAAACATTATGCAGCATTTCTCAAATTCTGACAGGATAGTCCTTCAGCATTTTCAGTACTGAAGAGGAGCGTACTGCTAGTAATTTGGTACACTTCAAGTACACTCCCATTGTGTCTGCAGATGTGGAAAGGAGTTTCTCCAAGTACCAGAATGTGCTGTCATGCAATAGGCGTTCACTCACCTTCGAGAATTTCCACATGTTGACAGTCATCTACTGCAACTCTGAACGAGGTGACACTTAAATATTGGAATATATACCATATGTGTACATATGATAAGCGTTCCAAAGCGGTAGAAAAAATCGTATTAAAACATTTAGCTTCAAATTCAAACATATATTGCTTAATTTTCAACATAAAAACGAGGACGAACTTAAAAGAGTACCGATGAGTTCACAGTGTTAATAAAGATTAGAAGTACATTTTAAAACAATTAGTAGATTTTCCATGACATGATACATTTAGGTTGTTTTTTAACCCGTTGCCGTGGTTTGACGTGTATGTTTCGTCAGGTATTTAAATCGTCTGGGGGGGTTCGACGTGTATGTTTCGTCCAGCTGCACACCTATGTTATAACGCCCATAATAATTGATGGTTTTGCTGTAGATTGTTAGATTTTTCGCTGGCCTGTTGTCAGTAGTACAGAGTATAATATGACACGTCTTTATCTGCTCTAAGTCGTCGTTACATATGCCTGTCTTGCAGCAAAGTTCCTGTGGCTCTTGCTAGCTGTTTCACCGTTCTACTGTTATGAATGTCGTGTTTTGTTTGCTACGAAGTTATAAACAGCAGAGACGTGATAAGTACTGTGTTCATAATATCATATTGCCCTGAGCTGGCCACACTAACGCAACTCAATTGGAATTCTTAGAATAGGGATGTCCAAACCTTTATTCTTGCGAGATCCATTGATTTCGCACAGTACAAAGGCCCAGTTCTTAGAAAAACGCCACAATTTAAGGCAGAACACTGTGGTCACCCCCTGAGACGATACGGATGTGTGTGGGGGAGGGAAAAGTACGTATTATCGCTCCAGTTGACGCCATTTTATCGTACTGACCTTGGTGGTCGTTTCGAGGGATGACCATAAATATTTTTTTTGAGCCAGCTAAGCTCTGCTTTCGTTCACTATATACCAGCCAGTTCTTAGAATAACTTCATGAATTCTGTGGTCACCCCTACGGCATCTGGGGCAGCCGAAAAGGTTGGAATCTGAAACGCAGAAGCACCAAACCCTTGTTATGATAACACAAAGGTTGAATTTACTGCAGCTAATCTGGCAAAATATACGACTCACGGAGAGACATTTCCACTTGTATTCCCCCCACGGGGAAGAATGCAAGGCCTCACAGAAGATGTTTGGTTTACGGAAAAGAGAGCCAAATGAGAGATACGCAGTACTGGTGTGGTGAAGTGAGACAGCGCTGTGTATAGTAGAATGCTTCAATGCGTACCATACTCCGTTCCCGAGATACAGGGCGCTCATATTATAAGGCAAGGTTATAAAACCATCTTTTAAGACCATTTTAGTGAAAGTTCCATGCTTCAAAGCGTACCATTCACTGCTCAAATTCTAAACAAACTGCTTCCATTGCCGAGATACCGGCTGCTCATATTATAAGGTAAGGTTATAAAACCACCTTTTTAGATCATTTTAGTAAAAGTTTCATGTTCCTATCTCATAGAATTTAAGAACAATGATGAATAAATCATTTTCGAGCAAAATTTAAATGGCCGGCTGAATATATTACCGCAGGAGACGCGGCCGCGGAATTTAAATGACCACGTCAAAGGGTTAACTTTTAGATAATTTGTATGGATTTTTTGGTCATTCTTAAAATATTTAAAGGTCATTAAAATCTGGGCCCTGTTCATCGCTCTACAGTTAACTCACATTTAAGTGGAAACTTACAGTTCATCTATACCATTATACTATACCTTACATAGTGTTTTCAAGAGGCATATTCTATTTCTTACACTTCAGTATGTTTATAACATCAACTGATACTCAATTACAAACAGAATTTCAGAAATGAATTTAAGCTACTGATCTTCCACACATGTCAGGTTCTATTTTACATAAAAATTTGATTTACTGCATAAGAAACACTGAATGTGCAGACAAAGTAAAACAAAAGGTAGTGAGTGACCCTGGGCATTTTTGAATAAGGTGACATCATCAATGACTGCTGGAAAGTTCAAATACAAATCTGATACAGACTGACCAAAATCAAACTAGGATTAATGTGAGTCAGATGTTTATTCCCTTAATGCTACATAACTTGAATCCAGATAAATATTTTATAATGACAATTTTAGAAGTGGCATAAATGTGAGCCTTGAAATCTTCTGAAATAAGCAAACAGACTACACTAGTTATAGTTTACCAACAGTAAAAACTTAATTCATTATTTGTTACACAGCATTACATTTCAAACGACAAATAAATGTAAAGTGCTGGATTTATGCAAAAATTACTTTTTTGCCTGTCACAAAGAAGATACAATGAATCAAATAAGTAGCTTTATAAGTATCTATAATGCAAAACAACTATTTGCACTACATAAATTTAATTTACTTCACAGAGAGTGTAAATAAAAGGAAGTCTATACAGACCCCAATGTGATGATTGAATTTTGTGGGAACATCCTCAGATATAAGTATTTATAACACTATCCATATAAAGGTAAATTACATGTAACAAACAAGCCTGTCACTTCAAGCATGGTGTGAAAATAATTAACTTGTTCAGTCATACTAATACAGGTGTTTATTATCAGACTCCTTAAAGGGTTGTTGAAGGACATTCATGAATGCAAATCACAAATATAACCACATATGTTGTACAAGATCTCTTCACCCTTAAAGAGGGTAGATGTCCCTTTCATGACAATAAATGATTTGTGAAACAAAAGTGTGATAAAATATGATTTAATTTATGGCAACTAGCACTATATTAACTTACAATTTTAAGAGAAAAAATATTATTGATAAAAAATCAAATGCAATAAAGAAATAGTTCCTAAAAAAAAAAGAAAGATGGAGAAAGCATATGGAAAATGAAGGTTCACAGCAATCTTCAAATGACTTGTAAATAATGTGTTATGTTCACTGAACCCTTTATGAGGTAGTATCTATCACTATTAACAAAAACAAACTCATTTGGCTCTAGGATACAAATAGGTAGGGTTTACAGCACCTTTCAAAAAACAAGTAAATACCAAATAATACTTCTTTCTGATCCTACTATTATGCTACTACTAGACAACAAACAACTCTAGCACACAAACAGATGAGGGTTTAGAGCACCCTTCAATGGTAAACAGCGCATTATACTTCTTCCTGGCTCTGTTATTACAAGGTCATATCTGTCACTACTAACAAAACAGTCACTGAACACTGCTGACTCTAGAGCAGAAACAAATGAGGGTTTCTATAATGCTGCAATAAACTGGTAAATACATCTCTTTCCCATCCTATAGGTCATTTAACATCAATGATCTCTAAACATAAAATGATGTTATCACAGATCCAAAGGAAAGATATGAGAATCCCTGACTGAAATTATTTGTTACCACACTTCATCTCTCCTTATGACTAATGTCTTCAACCTGAGCATGAAGATTGTACTATAAACTGACAGGAACTGCAAGTTACTTGCATCATGTTAAGTACAATTCCTCTTGTAAGCAGAGCTCCATTTACCACTTGAAACTTCTGGGCTCTTGGACATGCTGTCCTCTGTTGCATAGCCATGGTCTGGTGATTCAGTCAATTTTCTCTTTTTGGCAGTGTTTGTCATCTTGCCATTTTTACTGGTGAATAAAGAAAACTTTATATGTTAATTCAGTGTAGTTACACCAAAAATTAATCATGACATTTGGTAATTTTTTAGAAGCAATGATACCAACACATTAATGGGGAGGATGAAAAAATTACAGAGGAAAACAACCTTCATAGTAATCGTATTTTAAAATGCAATGTTATTTTACAATTCTATAGTTTTAATTAATATATTAGTTTTTTAAAGTGAACAAATTTATTAACTAGCGTAACACCCACTGACAAAATCAATGGATATATCATCATTTGATACATATGCTTTCGTACTATTAACTTCTCCTCCTTTCTCCCGTATTTGTTTCCAGCCCCACATGTTACTGAATGATAAGCTGAGGCCAACATGTAATGCTGTCTCTTTCAAATACTATGTACAAATGGTCAATCATAAATCATCCCATTTATAAAAGTGTACTAAACTTCAGTCCACTTCAAATTATTTCTTGTGTGCATGTGCATGCATGTCCCTTTCAACCTCTAAATCGGCTAAATAATTTTTCATGATACTTGGTATGAACGTTTTGTCACTTCAGTTCACCCCAGCCATCATGCATTTCAGTTTCCTGCCATCAGTACTAACAACACTGAAGATGCACAAACTAAGTTCTTCAAAAAATAAAATAAATAATGATAATAATATAGATCTGTAAAGCTATAAATCTATGCAACATGAAAGTAAGCCTTATAAGTTCTACGCAGAACTCCATGTTTTATTTTTTGTTGTTGTTGTGAAAGAAGCCAATAACATACAATGATGTAGCACAAGAAAATATTAAATGTGACAGAATAAAACCAGAGAGATGCACACTTACAGCATTCATGCAGGCACTGTTATTCTAGACTATTCTCAATCCCAGGAAATAACACAAATTTTCTTGAAAGCTGTGAAATCTATACACAATACACACACATTCATACATACACCAGGCTCCTTTGTTCTTATGGCCCTGCCTATTACTGTTCTGTGAGCATAAATGACAGAAGATTTGGATTTGGACAGACATATGGACAGAAGAGTAAAATTTCACTATTATACCTGAACACATCAAGACTCATGCCAGTAGGCCAAAAGAACTGCCTGAAATGCAGGAAAGAAAAATTTTTTCCATTGAAATTTTAGTTGAATCAGACCAAACAAGAAAGCAGTTTAATAACTTATTTATTTATTGAGTATAACACAGATGGTCTGCAAAGAAGTTTAACATAAATCTTATTGTATTAAGATACACACAAATGGTGTACACATATTTTCTAAATGAATGTTTTGTAATTTTGGGTCCCTCATTCTCCCTGATGTTCATTTATTGCAGATACATAACTACCTCTGTACAGTTAATCACTTCACAAATATGCTGCACAGTCCAAAATTACTTTCTTGTGTTCAATTAAATATTCATTGCACTGGAAGTTTTTCAAAATAAATTTCATAAATATCATATATGATATAACTCCATCCTAAGTGCAAACTATATTTATAGGTCTTTTGTTTTGTTCTCCTTTATACACTACATGTTTCGGCCCCAAACGGCCATCATCAGGTGTATACACTCACGTTATCTGTTACACTGCACTTATTTATAACATTTAAAATTTAAAAACATAGGTCTTCCTGATTGTTCCTATCGTTGTTATTACCAAAATCTACTTTGTTGATATCTTTGTTATTTACACGCATCAATTTTGATTTCTCTGAATTAGCACTTATAAAATCTTCAGTTCTAATTTTAAATCCTTTAAAAATTTTTTCTCTAAATTTTAAAATTTTAAATTGTCAGGGTTACTCGCCCTATGTCTATAGCGCTGCAGCGGCTTCTTCTTGTTTCTAGTGCTGTATAGGTGTTATTCTGTGTAGTCTCCCTGTGTGCGTGCCGCTGCTTATCTTTACTACTGATGTCTGTATTTTATGTCATGTAACAACGTATACACTGACCCATCTTTAATAAAGCTCATTAAATCTGATTTGAGCTTTGTTTTCCGTAAAACTCTGGGGTAACCAAACCAAAATTAAATTCACCCAACAATTTTTTGGACAGACTTCCACTATAAAATGCTATAAAAAATGTTAAGTTTTGGAGTTAAAACATGCAGATGGACAGACAGGCAGATATGCTCTGTCCATTATACATTCACTTTATGCACTACAAGTAAAATATCAAAAAGTAAAAAAGCTATAGGTATTAATAGCATATAAAACAACATGGCAGTTTCTGCCTTAATTTCACAGTATGACCCTTAGAATTATGATGAATTATGCAAACTATTTCCCCATACAAATCATTTTCTTACACTTCTCTTGTTAACGGACATGTTATTCACATAACCAAAGAAACTGAAAAAGGACTAGATTCTGATCTTGAGAAAGAGCTGAAAATATGAACTGGATTGGACTACGGCCCTATTACCAGCCTACAAAGTTAATTACATTCGCTATGTTGAAATGTATTTATTTATGCTATGAAAATTAATCTCTTTCAATAGTACTCAAATCTAGTTAAGACAATCACACACATCATACATTTGCAGTCAACAGTTATGCAAATGGTTATATAAAATATTTGAAGCTGTCAAACATATCAATCTTCCAAGGAACTCAGATTTGCAGTATGTCCCAGACTTCCCTTTTCTGATTGGTGCAGCTACTAACCTGAAAACTTTGTATCCCCTACCTTACAACTTGGCTTGAACACATCACTAAACAACATATAACAGGAAAAAGTATTAATACTCAACATTAAGTCCCCTGCCTCCAAAAACAGCTGTAAAACAGCATTCTTCTCAAGTTCTATAAAATAATCACAGAATTTTACAAGTTTCCACTCAGGTTGACAAGTCATATGCTAACCCAAAGTGCCTAAGTTCACTTTTTGGAAGTGCTACCTATAAAACTGGTAAAGGTAAAGGTGTCCCTGTGCTTAATTCATTAAGCAGCAGCCATGAAGGTGGAGGTATAGCTCCACCATTCTTGACCTCAGCACTAGCTGGAGATGAGTGGTCAGCTTCATGACCCTGAGCCGTGCTAAAGCAATGGCTCCTTCCGTGACATCATGGCTTCCAGCCATATCTCCCATGCTACCCTTCTCCTGAGGTCCTAGAGCTTCAACCCTCCTCCTCTTCCCCAATACCACGTGATTTCCCCTCCCTTTCTACGCCTGTGTCTCGGCAAGAAGTATGTCTGGGAGCAGAGGGGTTAGTCTGATAAGTGGATCCACTTGGACGAGGACGTCTGGTGGACCAGCGGGAGAAATTTCTAAATTTCAGTTCAGAGTTTTTTCTAAATATGGTTTTGGCGTAGTCGGGAGCTGGCCGCAGACGTTGGGGTTACTTGCAGTCGCCAGCAATCAGGGGATAGGTATGGCGGCGATATGCAAGTGGTTTAGTTAGCATTTTTACATATATATGTTCTTGGGGCCGCCTGTGGCTGACTTGTTTAGTTACTTATATATATTTTCTTTGGGGCTGCCTGTGGCTGACTTGTTTAGTTAGTTATATATTTGGGGCCACCTGTGGCTGACTTGTTTTGTTAGATATATTTATTTTCTTGCGGCTGCCTGTGGCTGATCAGGAAGTGACTTCAGTACATAATGTTGGTGGGCCAGTGGAACTGGGCATGTCGCTGAGTTGATGCCGCGAAGTGTGGATCAGTATAGGGCAAATCAGCCATGTCTATTGGGTTGTATATTTTGTATATTCTTGTAGTGAATTATATTGTGTTTGTGTTTATTAAATCTTGTTATTTTTATTTCGTCAGTCACTAACTTCAGTAAGGCCCTCCGCTGCGAGCTTGGATTCCCTGCGATGACCTTAGGGAGTATTGTAAACATGACTTGAAAGCCTGTGATGATGAACCACTCCCGACTTCAAGATGGTTGTAGGTGGTAGGGTGAAGACGGGAGTAGCATCAGTTCAACCCCGCTCTTTACTCCCGGGCCAACTGCCCCTGTATCCCTATAGAGGAGGTTGGATGGTCCCCAGAATCAGTCTGCATGCTATGGAGAAGAAAAAATGTTGTCCCTGCCAGGAATTGAATCCCAGCCATCCAGCCCATACCCAACTTCTATACTGACAGTATAATATAATGTTAACTACAATCTGTAGACCGGCATACATTCAGATCTAGAATGCCTGTTTAAAAACTAATGTATATAGTGAGACTAAGCAGTATCATAAATATGATATTAGTCCACTTCAGTAAAGAAGATACCTTACCTGATTAGTACAGAAACACAAGGCAGCAGATCCATAAATTGGTACTTTGTCACATTCTGCAGAATGCTTGTCCATTTTGAGGACAGTTGCAGGGTTTGCCTAGCTGCAGCAATGCACGCTGCTGCCACTAATGAGGGCTTCACTGGAATCAGACATACCTCTGTAATGAGAAGTCGAGTACATATTAGAAACCTTGTCACAAAGGCAGAAATGTGTTACTCAAACGCACTATTTGTTACTTTGCCTACTTCACTGGGCATGACATCATTTGCTGCAGATAAAATTCTAATGCTGCAAGCCAATCACACTACAGATATCATAAGCACGCTCACAATATATATTTTCCTTGTATTCCATTGAATATTCCACACCATGCACTCATTCTGCACACTTCGTAGAAGCAACACACAATTATTAAGAGTACATCTATTATTTTGTATCAAGGAAAGTATATCATCAGCTCCATTGCTGTTACCCATATAGCATTCCTCACCTGTACCATACAATTAATAATTTGTACCTTTGCCTGTTAGGTTTGTATCAGAATAAAACTCTGTCATTCATTCTGAGAAAACAGAGATGTTTGAGAACAAAGTGATGAATAGAATATGTAAAAGAGATGACCAGTGTAATGGAAAGTATTCAATGAAGGACTTCACACTTTGGTTCCCTTGTAGTCAAGGAGATCAAATCAAGAAGGATGAGATATACTGGTAATATAGCATTTATGGGGGAAATAAAGTATATAAAAATCAAGGCTCAAAAACCTTATGGTAAGAGACCATTCAAGTAATTTAATAATGGAAAATGTTGTGAAGAAGAGATCTGGAGTGGCTGACAGGAACCAAAAGCAGGCTTCTGTGATGACTGTGATGAGCCTGTTTTACACATTTATACAGAAGGCAGATTCAAATGGACATTATGGATTTTTATAGGCATATGACATATGACCTCAATTTATGTTACTATATACAGGGTGGAGCAGAGGAAACACATGTTTTTCACATAAGAATGACTTTGTTGAGTTTCAAGATAAAACCTTTTTAATTACACAAAAAAGAAGGTATTTTAATGCATTTTAAACTTACATTATGTACGGAAAACAGTGTCAGTCAGATGACATCCTTCTTGCTGGACACACATTTGGGGCCTCTCCCCAAAATTCTGCATCGCATTCTCCAACATGTCTTCTGGCACAGCTGTGATTTCTTGACGAATGGAAAGTTTCAGCTCTTGGATTGTTCACGGTCTGTTTGTGTACACTCTTTCCTTGAGGTATCCCCCCCCCCCCAAAAAAGAACAACACCATCAGACAAGGGAGCCAGGGGCGCGACAAAACACACCAACNAAAAAAGTCACAAACCAATAGATCAGGGTAGCCCGGGGGCCAAGAAACATCACTAAAACAGGAGATCACTTGTTGGGGCAACATACGTCGAACAACTTCCATCGATGCTTGCGCCGTGTGAGCTGTGGCACCTTCCTGTAGGAACCACATTTGTCTAATGTTTACCCAACACCATAGGAGTTCTGGATGCAGAAAGTTAACATGTCAATGTAGTGTGCGGAAGTCACTGTAATTGCAGTGCAGTAACTGCCCCCATGCTCCCCTGATCTATCTGTGACTTCTTTTGTGGGGATACCTCAAGGCAAAGAGTGTACACGAACGACCCAAGAACTGAAACTTTCCATTCGTCAAGAAATCGCAGTTGTGCTGGAAGACACGTTGGAGAATGCAATGGAGAATTTTGAGGAGAGGCCCCAAATATGTGTCCAGCAAGAAGGAAGTCATATGACTGACACTGTTTGCCATACATAATTTAAGTTAAAATGCATTAAAATACCTCCTTTTTGTGTAATTAAAAAGCTTTTATCTTGAAAATCAACGAAGTTATTCTTATGTGAAGAACATGCATTTCCTCTGCTTAACCCTGTATAATAAATATGAAGGGTTTTGCAATATATTTTGTTATTATCCATTTTAAGTTCAACTGAAGGCAAAACAAATTTCTGTTCTAATTAAACAGTGCAGATTTTCAGTCTCACTAATATTCATCACAATTCTTAGTTATCTATGAGAATACAGTTTCCTGCCTACTAACTGCAGCTCCCAGCTCCCAGAGGATGTAATGAAATTTATTACTGCAGCTGATATTCTGGAAACTGTTAACAGAAAGGTCTTTTCTTACTGAAGTTTCACCAACTATAACTCCATGGTACAGGGTTTTCCTCGAGCAGTTAACACTTATTTTGATGGCCAAGAAGTCCCTACTTTTATCACCATACACAAAAAATCATATTATCCAAGAGACCAGGTGACAGATTGATTTTTCAACATCTTCAACTCTAAATCCCATATTCATTTACCACCTTTATCCACATCCTGATTTCACTATTATGTACGAAGGGCATTCCGTATATAATGCCTCCTATTTTTTTGTGTTAATATGTAACATCTGAGCTGGCTGTTGGTGGTTTTGTAGTAAAGGTTGAACCTTCCCACCAATGTACTGTTAGTTTGGTTGTCGTGCGACAGATAGCGACAGCAGAGCAGTCTACCAAAATGGTGTCTGACATAGAAGTGCATACGAAACAGAGGTGTGTTATTGAATTTCTCACTGCCAAACAAATTGCACCCATTAACATCCATCGACGCTTGCTAAAAGTGTACCGAGACAATACAGTGGATGTCAGCACAGTGAGGCAGTGGGTAGTGTATTTCAACAGTGGCGAAAGTGAAGTGCACGACAAGCCACGCCCTGGTCGTCCCTGCTCAGATGCCACTCCTCACAATGAACAGCGCCTCGATCAGCTCATCCGTACAGATCAGCAGATAACAACCCGGGAACTGCGTGCACGACTTAATATCAGCTGTAATGCATTGGAAGCAATGTTGGGGAAGCTGGATTACTGCAAAATTTGTTTCAAGTGGGTCCCATGGATGGTTACACAGCACCACAAAACTCATCGAATGGAAGTCAGTCAGGACCTGTTGCACCAGTTTGAGGCTGAAGGTGACAAGTTTCTGGACAGCATCGTCACCAGATATGAGACATGGTGTCACCACTATGAGCCAGAATCCAAAAGACCGTCCATGGAGTGACGACATCTGGATTCCCAAAGAAAAAAGAAGTTCAAGACACAGCCACTGGCATGGAAAGGGATGTGCACGGTCTTTTGGGATAGGCAGGGTGTGATTTTGTTGGATTTCCTGGAGTCTGGTGAGACTGACAATTCTAAACGCTGTAAGACGACGCTGACTAAGCTGAAAGCCCACATTTCCCGAGTCAGGCCAGAGAAGCAGACACCCTTCCGCTTGCAACACGATAACGCTAGACCCCATACCAGTATGGTGACCACATTACAAAGTTTGGCTGGACTGTCCTACCACATCCACCTTATAGCCCCGATTTAGCACCTTCAGACTTCCATCTCTTTGGGCCTATGAAAGATGGACTACATGGGCAACATTTTCCAGACGATACAGTCATTGCAGCTGTAAGAAAGTGGCTAGCCTCAGCTGGCACACTTTTGCGGGCGCGGCATACAGGCTCTTGTTCATCGCTGGCAAAAGTGCATAACGAATGGTGGAGATTACGTGGAAAAATAACTGTAAGCAGCTGAAATCTTGCTCTGTTTAACTGCATTATTATGCTTTCTGTATCTGTTGTAGTTCTAGTTAAAAAAATAGGAGGCATTATATACAGAACGCTCCTCGTATATACTAACGAAATAAAATCAATTTCAGATCCTATATCAGTACTACTACTGGTTTCTAAGAATATTCCATTGTCATTATTTTATATTAGGCATTATTTCCATGAATCAGTTTCGTTATAAAGGATTTTTTTGTTTTGTTTCAAACTATCAATAAACTTCAATATTTTCATAGAGGAATTTCTAGTAAATGTATTGTTTTCATATCTAAGTAAAAACACTTAAAAACATATAATCTTAACATCTGGGTTCTGCTACCAGAATGTTAACTAATTTGAAGCAGCACTGCTATATTAACAGTGATTTCACATTTTTCTGCTAAGCTTTTGTTTCCAAGTCTTTTGTAATGTGTCAGTAATTATATTCACATAGAATACATAAATTTCTTAACAAAGATGTTACACAAGTTTTGTATTTTTCGTAAGTATCTATCTTGTGTATTTTTACAGCTAATACAGTTCAAGGCCCATATAACAACAAATAAAAGAAAAATTACTTTGATTTGTTTCATTCTGGTCTGTCACACTAATAATATTATGAAAAAGTTAAATAGTTCCATCCAGTGTGACTGGTTAAGATTTTTTTTTTCTTATTTCAATTATTCATGCCCTTACATGTTTCGGTCTTCGGAGGGACATCTTTACATCAATACAGTTAGAAGCCACTATTACAGTACATGTTCTAAAAGTTAAAATATATACATACAATATAAATAATATACAATTGGGTGTAAAATCTGAAATCTTTACAACTGCAAAGGCTGTTCCAATATAGTAAAATATTTATAGTTAGTTTGATAAGATTCTATTGGAATTCGTTAACCAAGCTGGTTCATGTCATCCCTTTTATTATTTCTTTTGATGGGGGCCGAATGTGTGCCACCCTGTCATTTTCGAAAAGAGGGTTCTTTAATGTTGTCCTGCATGTGTTTGTGGGCCGCTGTGTTGTTTGAAATAAGAAAAAAGTCTTAACCAGTCACACTGGACTTAACTATTTAATTTTTTCATAAAAGAAAAATTATCACTGTGTTTTAATGTTTGTTGCAGTACAGCCATGATCAGAACCATAACACTGATTGCTGCATTACTCTGCACTTCTATATACAGTGAAACAGCTATACATAGCCTTGACTCTTCCTCAACAGACAGTGCATGGACTGTCAGAAATGCAAATGGAAGTATTGAAGTACCAGCTGTAGTTCCTGGTGGCATCTACACAGACTTGAGGGCAGCAGGTGTACTGACGCAAGACATCTACTATCGCTTCAATGATATTAATTATCGATGGGTCAGCAGGGAAAATTGGACATACAGTCGAAATTTTATAGTGGAAGAAGAGTTTATACAAATGGATCAGATATTCCTGGTCTTTCATGGTGTTGATACAGTTGCATCAGTCTATCTCAATGATAAGCATATTGGCAACACTGACAATATGTTTGTTCGGTATTCATTTCCTGTTAAGTCAGTCGTCCAAAGAGGGGAGAACAGACTTGAGGTGAGGTTTGAATCATCAATAACTGCAGCTGAGCAGCAATATCAGAAACAAGCCTTGACTTATCCAGTGCTACCCACATGTGTTCCTGATGAATATCGTGGGGAATGTCATGTAAACCATCTCCGAAAGATGCAGGCATCATTTTCATGGGACTGGGGACCTGCTTTTCCTTCTGCTGGTCTATGGAAGAAAGTTGTACTGTATGCATTTGTTAGTGATGTTGCTATACTCCAGGAAGTGACAGCAAGTGCAAAGCTAATAGATAACACTTGGCTCTTACAAATAGGAATATTTCTTGAGGCTGGAAAGGACATCCTTCAGATAAGCGGTAAATTTGAAGCCATTTTGGAACTTGATGTGATTCCAGTAACTGAGGAGGCAGTACTCTTACCAAATGAACCTGGGCAATTCAACACAACTCTCTACATGCAGATTCCAAAGGATAAGGTTGAACTGTGGTGGCCCAATGAACTTGGTTCTCAGAAGCTTTATAACTTATCTGTTAGAGTGAAAGACAATAATGATTACATATATGGACAGATGTCATTAAAAATTGGTTTCAGAACTATTGAACTAGTACAGGAGCCAGTGGAATCAGGAGAAGGTCTCACATTTTACATTAAAATAAATAATGTACCAATATTTTCTAAGGGTTCCAACTGGATTCCATCCCATGTTCTACCAGAAAAGTCAGCGGATCCGGACATCATTTATACGCTGTTGTCATCAGCCAAAGCAGCTCACATGAATATGCTACGAGTGTGGGGGGGAGGCATGTATGAGTCAGATCTTTTCTACCAGTTGGCAGATGAGTTGGGCATCTTAATATGGCAAGATTTCATGTTTGCCTGCAGCCTATACCCCACAAATTCTGAATTCCTCCAATCTGTTAAAAAAGAAGTGACACAGCAAGTGCGTCGGCTTCACCATCACCCAAGTGTTGTAATATGGGCAGGTAACAATGAGAATGAAGCTGCTCTAAGAGATAATTGGTATGGCTCAAGCAGCAGATTTGACCTCTACAAAGCAGATTATATTAAATTGTATGTGGATACTATTCGACCTGTGGTGCTGGCTGAAGATAGTACTCGTCCCTACATTGTGTCCAGTCCAACCAATGGGATTGAATCTGAGAGGGAGGGCTACATAGCTGAAAATCCATACAGCTCTCTATATGGAGATGTGCATTATTACAACTACATAGCTGATGCATGGAATCCTAATAATTATCCAAATACTCGCTTTGCATCAGAGTATGGGTTTCAGTCATTCCCATCACTAAAATCTCTGTCTGAAGTTTCCATACCGTCTGACCTGATTATGCAGTCTGCATTCATTGATCACCGCCAACACCATCCTGGTGGAAATTCTGAATTAAGACTTGAGATACTACAGCATCTGCAACTTAGAAACTATGAAACTCCAGAAGAAGAATTTCCAACTTTCATTTATTTTGCTCAGATAAACCAAGCTATGTCCATCAAGACAGCAACAGAGTTCTACCGCCGAGGACGGAGCCTGCTTACGTCAGATGGCCAAGGGGTAACTATGGGTGCTTTATACTGGCAGCTGAATGACATCTGGCAGGGAGCATCTTGGTCTTCTTTAGAATTTGGGGGAAAGTGGAAGATGCTACACTATTTTGCACGCAATTTCTTTGCACCAGCTCTTGTATCACCTTCTGTAACAACTGATGGGGACTTACAAATTCATCTTATATCAGACTACTTGGAAGATAAGGAAACAATGCTGCGAGTATCAGTATATAGGTGGAACAGTCTTGACCCTGTACATCAGAGATCCAGCGCCCACACATTACACAACGCATCAGTCACTAAAGTGTTCAGTGGGAACCTTCAGACCTACCTGAATAATGCTGGATGTGAGCAGAATGCTGTAAAGAGTTGTTTTCTGCATTTTTCACTGTTTTCAGAAAATGGAGACAATATAAGTCCAGATAATTTTCTGTTCCCAGGATCTCTCAAAGAACTGACTGACTTTGAAGCTGCAACTATTACTATAAAATCTGTTACACCTGGGAGAGAAGCCAACACTTTTGAGATTACAATAGAAACTAATAGAGTCGCTCTGTTTGTTTGGTTAGAAGCAAGTGATATTCCTGGAGAGTTTTCAGACAATGGTTTCTTACTGATTACTCAAACTTGGAAGGTTGAATTCAATGCAAAGGAGGAGGTGACAAGTGAGCAGCTGAAGGGTAACATTACCATTATATCTCTTGCAGATACATACTGAACAGTGAATAACAACATTAATTTAAATTATGATTTATGAACATATTAAGTTGAGCAGCTTCAAGTTTTGTGAAACATGTATCTGTAGAATTTAGAGATGTTAAATAAATGCTCCTATTTACAGTTAAAGGTTAAGAATAAATGATTCTTTGGGGAAGAAAAACAAAATAGGACACCAATGAAATAAGAAATAGTAAACTTGCACCTTGATATGATGGTACAAGCTCCAAGATCAGTTTGATAATCCTGCAAGCTGTATAAAATAAAAATCATTGCGACAGTGACAATAACAACCAACAAGGGAAACTATTAAACTTAATTCTGGCTATTGACCATATTATGTTCATATGTTTTCTGCAGTTCCAATGTCTACAATTCAGCAGAGGTGAAAGCACTGATAAACATGGAAAAGAACTGTACCCAGGTCCAGCCATGAAGTGAACCCAGGATTCCTTGAATGAGAATCCATTGGTCTGAGACCACATACCATCACATAATTAAGAACAAAATTAATTGCCTAACATGATAAGTAAGTTACAATCAACTTGAGATAGAAACAAAATCAATATGCATCTACTAAAATAATTCGGCAAAGTTACTCATCTCAGTAAATAAAGTTATAAAATACAGCTTTTCTAGTTATTCTGCTTTTTCACACATTTATAAACATGACACTAATATGAAGACTATAAACCTTCCCAGGTATAGAGAACTATTTTATGTTAAAGAAAATATATCTTCAACATAGTTGTGTTGTTTATTTTTTATGAAGACGAGTCTCCTCTTTCAGCAAACAGATCCTCAAACTGCCCTATGACTCTCAGAGACCGAAACATGTTTGTGTTCTGTATTATTTATATGTTTATGGTACATCACAAGTAAATGCAATGTATGTATCAGCAACTTAACAAAATCCACCCAGCTATACCTTGCAGTCTGTGTCACACAAATACTGTCCTATTCCAGAAACACTAGGTACATCTACCAGCCAATTAAGAGCTCTGGCCTAGTAGCTGAGTGTACATCTGGAGTCTTGGTCCCAGTCCTAAAAATTATACCTGAGAAACAATAACGTACAAACCAGGAGGAAATTGTAGTTGTATATAGATGTATAGAAGCATATGAAAAAGTGAAACACAAATTGAATCAATCCACGGAACATACCGTCTCCCACTGCTGTGGGTGCATGTTTACAGCTGCGTTGCCTGGCAACACACTTCCTATATCTCCATGCTTTTGCTTGGCATGGACCGCATAAAACAGTCTCTCTATTGTTGAGGTTTGCTTACCAAGCTATTGTTTAGCAATGCTCTGGCCATCCATGGTACATTGCTCCCTCCTCCTCCCTTCTGAAATTTCTGCTCATGACATCACTTCCTGTGGCTCGGTTCCTTTGTGGTGATAACTCTCCAAATGCTACATCCACTCCCTCCTTCAGGGTGCTCATCTCAAGCAGCTCCCTGATAGGATTCCAGTCAGTTCAGGTTCTCCCCCCCATCCATTTCTCTCCTTTTTGGTGGGGCAAAACTGTCCTGAGTGGCTGGTGCTCCCACATTGCCTGCTCATACTCCGCACACTCTTTTTTCAAAACCTGCTGGACATTGTTCGCACACTTCACGAATTCCAGCTCTAGGGTCTTCCTGAGGGTCTTCTAGGTCGGTCCACCTCTTCCCAGAAGTGATAGATGTCTTGAGCTCCATCCTCCAATGCCGATCGCAACTGCCTTCTTCTTTCTCAGGTATAGCAGCCACTTGCCACCCAAATCCTTTGTTCCCCCTTTTCCTTCATGGTGCGTCCATAAGTTCTTCCTGCTCACTCAACCTTGGCCCTGGTGCAATCCTTTCTGATGATGCCTCTCCTGCACAGCGGGTCATCCTCCTGCCGGCAACAGTCGCTCTCTTCCAGGATCCACAATATCCCTGGGTCCTCTCCTTTGGCTTCTGGCAGTGCTCCATGGCCAGATTCCGGGCCCTACACCACTTCCTTAGTCCTCCTACCGGCATCACTGCGACTCATCCCTTGGGGACTTCTTGAAGCTCCCCTACAGACTGCATCATTCCTGGATCGGGTTCAATCTTCTCTGTATCTGCCTCCGTCACTTCGTGGTGGGCAGTTGTCTCTTGGCAGGCCTTCATTCCCACCGAGGTTGGCTCCTCACATTCCAGATGTGTCTCTGTTGTTTCTTGGCAGGCCATCCTCTCTTCCTGCATTCCTATTGACTTCCATCCTCTTGTCTCACACGACTTTCGTTTCTGCGTCTATCTTGGCTATCATTTCCTTGTGGTTGGCATCCAGTCTGGCCAGCAGGATTCCCATCATCTGTTGCTTCTCCATTTTCATATAACAGCACTGCAAATATGCAATTCGGTCTTTAATCCAATAATCACTTCAATTGATCAAATCTGACCACTTCTAACACCAGTTGTCACATATTTATGATCATAACTACTGCTGGTGAATCCAATAGCATCTGAACCGCCAGCTTCTGACACCAAAATGTCATGTAAGGTGGTACATGTGACAAAAATGATGAGGTTTGTTTACCAAGCCATTGCTTAGTAATGCTAACACAATCCCCATTACAATATATTCTAGCATGTCCCTCGAAAGCCAGAATAGCTTAACCAGAAAAGATGTCCATTACTAGGTACAACACAGGAATTGTGGTAAGCAGTGTTTTCTGTGGACTGTGCAGAGGCTATCTCTGAAGAATCAAAACACAGCTAAGTCATTTGAGAGTCAGGTACAGTCAGAGCTTGAAGGCAGGCAGTCCGAGACAGCCCGAGGCTGAGACAGTCACCCCTGGCGGAGGCGTTGGTGTTGGAATGGCCCACATTGCTGTAAACCATTGTGTAGAAACGATAAATGTTGCTGTGACATAGTAACAGCCAGCAAGGACTGGAGCCATGGAACATGGAAGCTGAGGAATCTACGACATTGAGAGTGTTACCAGGCAACAACCAGTGAAGACACAGCAGACTGAGAAGACTTGGTGCATGCTGTAGTGACTTGCACAGTGTGTGAATTAGCAACAGCTACATGTAGTTACAATCTTTGAGAACCAAATAAATCCGATTATCAATCCAAACCCCATCTATAGTCACCTGAACATATGAAAACATAAACTTCACATACCCAGTGCTAATGACTGTAGAGGTCAGAATACCTGAACTGTTTAAATAAGAAAAAAGTACTTGTGTATCTGGGCAACTATACTTCTGTAACCTGAACCCACGTAATTTGGGGACCTATTGTACTGGAGAAAAATTGGGAATACAATGAGACAGTAAACTCTGGTATTCATAGACTTCAAGAAAGCCTGATTCAATTCAATTGTACAGTATTCTCACTGAGTCTGGTATGCCCATGAAACAAGTTAGGCTACTTAAAATGTGTTTAAATTAAACCTATAATAAAGTCTGTACTGGTAAACTTTAAGCTGATATGTTTCTTAATCAAGAAGATGTTTACCATTATTGCTCTTTAACTCTGCTTAAGAATATGCCACCAGGAACGTGAAAGAAAAGCAGGTGCAACTGAAACTGAATGGGACACATCAGCTTCTATGCTGATAATTTATTGGGGCTTAACATAAACACTAGTACGGAGGTTTACATAAACACAGTTAATAGATACTTCTAAATTGTCGTATAAGTTCAAATATTTGGAAACGACAGTAACAAATCAAAATCTGAAGGAATTTAAGAGATTACATAAGGGTAATACTCACTACCATGCAGTTCAGGACCTTCGGTCTTCTCATTTGCTATCTAAAAAGGCAAAGGTTAAAATATGCAGAACTAGAATTTTGCCCATAGTTTTATATGGGAGTGAAATATGACCTCTGACATTAATGGAAGAACACAGATTGAGGATGTTTGAGAACAGGGTGCTAAGAATATCTGACCCAAGAGGAATCTAATAATAGGCTGAAGAACACTGCATAATGAGAAGCTTCATAACTTGTACTCCTCAACGGATATAGTGAGAATGAGATGGACAAGGCATGTAGCATGAATGCAAGAGAACTGCATACAAGGGTTTGGTACAGAAACTTGAACAGACCGCTAGGAAGAACTAGATGCAGATGGAGGACAACATTAACACATATCTTACAGAAACAGGGTGTGTACTGGATTCATTTGGCTCATAATAGAAACTAATGGCAGGCTCTTCAGAACATGGTAATGGACTTGAGTTGGCAGTTGGTGAGTGCAGTTCATGGGCTGCAAGTGAGTAGGTCATGGATAGCTGTGAAGAAGCTCCAAGGTTAACACCCATAACCTAGTGACGCCTAGTGAATATGGTAAACTCACAATGATCAGTGAAGAAATAACAGACTGAGACTAAGTGTATGCTACAGTGATTTGTTATGTATGTAGATCAGTGCTAGCATTACAGGTACTTGTAGGTGAGAGATACAGTGTTCAATAAATAAAATTAGCAATTCAAACCCTTTGTCTAGTCACTAACATGTGACAGTATTATCTAAGCTGAAAAGTTAAAGATTTCCTTATTCTCATGCAACATCTTGTACTTGCAACCACCACATGTTTTTCAATTGCAAATTAGAAGGAACCTGCACAGGCATGCTATGCACTTCTACCTCAGGGTCATGTAAACTCTATATTCAGACATAGAAGTATATTTCTCAGATTCTGGAACATGAACTTTCCTCTCTGAAGCAAGGGAAAGGTGGAGGATGTTGTTTAATGGTACCATTATATGACCATCACCTAGATGCAGCTTCAGAAGCAATCTGTAATTACAGTTCATGCAGAAAGTTGCAGAAAAGAAGTTGAGGCTGGCTAGAAATCACTCATTATGATGAAATATTTTTATCATTACAATGAAGTACCACTTAACCCGTTGCCGTGGTTCGTCGTGTATGTTTCGTCAGGGATTTAAATCGTCTGGGGGGGTTCGACGTGTATGTTTCGTCCAGCTGCACACGTATGTTATAACGCCCATAATAATTGATGGTTTTGCTGTAGATTGTTAGATTTTTCACTGGCCTGTTGTCAGGAGGACTGTATTTAATGACACACGCGTTTAAGAGCGCTAAGTCGTCGTTACATATGCCTGTCTTGCAGCAACGTTCCTGTGGCTATTGCGAGCTGTTTCTGTTATGAATGATGTGTTTTGTTTGCTCTGAAGCTATAAACACCAGAGACTGATATGTGCTGGTGTTTATAATATCATATTGCCCTGAGCTGGCTATTCAATTGGAATTCTTAGAAGAGGGATGTACAAAAGTTTATGCCTGCAAAATCGATTGCTTTCGCACAGTACATAGCACCCATTTCTTAGAAAAACGCCACAATTTAAGGCAGAACACTGTGGTCACCCCCTGAGACGATACGGATGTGTGTGGGGGAGGGAAAAGAACTCATTCCTTCGCTCATTATCGCTCCAGTTGACTCCATTTTATCGTACTGACCTTGGTGGTCGTTTCGAGGGATGACCATAAATATTTTTTTGAGCCAGCTAAGCTCTACTTTCGTTCACTACATACCAGACAGTTCTTAGAATAACTTCATGAATTCTGTGGTCACCCCTACGACATCTCCTGCCGCCAAAATGGATGGAATATCAAAGGCATAGCAACAACCCCTTGTTATGATAACTCGTAACGTTGAATTTACTACAGCTGACCTGGCAACTAAACGGGTCACGGAAAGACATTTCCTTGAAGTATACCCCTCACGGGTAAGAAGGCAAGGCCGCACATATGTGTGGTTAAAAAA